GTTAGTTGATATTTTCTGAAAAGTTACAAAAATCGTTTTGTTTACAAATTGTCTCACCTAATTTATGAATACGGTAACATCATCATCTCTATCTATTCACGTAGAAGTTGATCTTCCAGTTACAAGCAATGTTCCCGACACCTACTGATGACGAAGAGATCACCGTAGCTGACCAGAAAATGCAGGTAAACTCGCAGCTTAATAGTATACCGGTTGAATAAATTCGATAAGTATTATTAATTAAATAATTACGACTGTATCTAATCTTAAAAAAAAACTACTTGTAAATTATATTGTCTAATTAGGTTATGTAAAGGAACGTAGTGTTTGTTAATTATGTGAGTTGTTGATTATGTGATTATTTTACAAAGGTCTCATTGCGAAACTTATAAAAACGAGCAGTAATTCTCTCAAATACATCTGTAAATATATGCCTTCATACTTGAAAATCTAACTGGAGTACGAATAAAGGCTCAATAAAGGGTGTTGCACCGTAAACGTAGCAAAACGTACCTAATTAGCTAAAAAAAACTCAAAAGCACAAAAGTTAAAAGTAAAATTTAAATCACAAAGATACAGAGTTTTGAATCAACATCCTACGTTTGCTTCAAATTGCTCTTCTGCCGTCACAAAAAATATTTAAAGAAGTTTTGCTTAGTGATAAAAATTTATGATTTTGCCTCAAAAAAACCTCGTTGCGTATTGTTTAATAGCGTAAATTTAAGAAGCCTACGAAAGATAAAAACGTTCATTTTTATTTCCTTTTTTAATACTGGATTCTATGAAATCACGGCAGTTAGTTTCATATTGCTTAGCAAAGCTGAGAGTTTTGCTCTGAAAAATACAGAATAAAGTAAGAAAAGGTTTTGCTCAAAACTTTATTTCGTATAAGATACTATTAGTGCATTATAGAAAACTTAAAGTTCCTTCTATGATAAACCCTTGCAACCTAGAAGTGCAAACAACAGAGGAACCCTTGGTAGGAAATTATCCAATGCCGAGTCTTTTTTCAAGATTACTATTCGATCTTAATGTAATTCAACTTCTCAGCTTCAAATTAGCAAGGTTTTCACAGTTCTTCTGTTCGAAAAAAAAAAGTAAAAAATCTCAAAAAGCCAAAAACTGAGCTTTGTCACTCAACTATAAATCTTCTTCTGTAATCTCATAAACGGTGAAGCTAGACATGACAAAAAACTTTTGATAAGCGAAAATATAAAAAGCATTACATTGAAGAACAAAAACGTCAAAATCTGCTCAGCTGCTAAAATACAACGACGTTTGACAAGTGCAACTGTATTAAGGTTTGAAGTGTATCTACAGATTCATTAACGGCAAAGTTAGGCATATTTCAAACTGAAGAAAAACTAATTGAACTCCATATCATTTTACTCTGCCTATTCTGTTTTCTAAATGTTGTAAAAATAATTTTTTAAAACAATGTTGCATTGAACAAATGAAATGAACAAATAATTAGAACTACGATATTACAATATTAAGCAGAACAAAGAGTATACTGATGCCGAGCAAATTTTTTTTACTGTTATCAGATTCTAAAGCATTAAAATTTTATCGCCTCAATTTATATTTGTTGTAATACAAAATTCTTGCACTTCTACATGCGTAATCTATTTTCTTCAGTTCCAAACATTAACAGTTTGTTCTACGTCAGTAAACTGCTTTCGCTTAGGAAATGCTGGTACGAATATCAGGTTTATAAACTACCTGCGATGGCACTAAATTACAATTTAATTATTTCGCCTTTTAACGCCGAAAATAGCGTTGATACATAATTTGGTGCAGCTAAATCAATCGCAACTGCAGTTAAATTTATAGAGCAATAAGAATCGACTTCCTCTTCTTGTCTAAACTGCAGTTTTTTTATGCACATATGATACCTACACCAAACTAGCTCGAATTTTATTGGATCTGGAAATAAAATTGATATTATACAAAGACTGAAAAACTTCAAAATATTCCAC